CGGCTGAATCTGTAAGATTAATTCCTCTTTTTCCACTTGTTTGCCTGTTTCTTCCTATCTTTGTATTGCTTCTTGGCTTGTAGCCCTTTGGCATGTCATAATATATGATTGTATATTCCTCATATGGCTTATTCCTGTAAAGGCATACTTGGGGTAAAATTTGGATATTCCTCTTTTGCTCCTTCTGTTATTCTTGTCCCCTCGTGTGTTCTCCTTCTCCTGTTTTCCCTGCTCCTTCCCTCCTTAGTAATTACTGTATACTGATCTTCTTAAATATCCTCTTATGATGTTTATCTCCATACGTTTCATTCCTTCATATGTCTTATTAAACCTGCTTTTTTGTCTATAGTTTCCCCCTGGGCCCCTCTCGGTTCTCCATCCTAGCTTTTTCGTGCCTCTTTGCTCCTCTTGTCCCCTGGTTTACACTAGTTTTTCCTGCCTATGGGCACACATTGCTTAATCTAGTCTGTTATGGCGCAAATCCCATATTTCTCTTCTGTCCCCTTCTGTCTTCTTGGTGTCCTGTTTTTCCCTCCGTTCTTCTTATAATATACACTAGGTCTTATCAGTAAGTTCCTAACCATTATATGATATTTCCCTGCTATTTTATATCCTTCCTCTTATTTATTGCTTAGCAGGTCACGACAGCTTCTTTTATATCATCCCTCATGATATGCTCGATAGCAAAGAAAATATCATATTAGCCACAACATTCTGTATCCAGCTATTTAGACAGTTATCTTTTTGCCACCTGGTGGGTAAAGGTATATTATGATAATGTATCGAAACATAAGGAGTTGCCTGTTCATTCATATGATCCCCACAAGAACTCACCAATAATTTCGAAAATTCGGGTTAATTAATCACGTGGAATAACACACAATATGTTTATAAAACTATTCGACCTGTTATTAAGGGAGGGAACCTTTCTATTATCGTTTATATGCTCATATAGCATTACACTTAAAACTCATATAAAAACCATATCACTGCCAAAATGATCAGGTATTTATTCACTTTTTCTCATTTTTCAGAAGAATCTCATAACTCTATAGTGGTATAAAACTCC